ATCCTTTCTGCTTCTGGGAGTTGATTAAATTTTCTGGTTATGATATTGAAAATTAAGGTTGGGCATGTGGTATCACATGCCTGTGATACTAGCTACTTCAAAAGCTGAGACAGGAGGATCACAAGTTTGAGGTTAGCCTGACAATTTAGTGAGACATTGTCTCAAAAAATAAAAAGGAGTAGGGCTGGGTATAGTGGTGCCCACCTGTAATCCCAGCGGCTCAGGAGACAGAAGGATAGAGAGTTTAAAGCCAGCCTCAGCAAATATGAGGAGCTAAGCAATTCAGTGAGGCTCTATCTCTAAATAAAATACAAATTAGGGCTGGGGATGTGGCTCAGTAGTCAAGTGCCCCTGAGTGTAATCCCCAGTACCAAAAAGAAACAAGAGGATAGGGAGGTAGCTCAGTGGTAGAATGCCCCTGAATTTAATCCCCAGGACCAAAAAAATAAAAAATAAAAATAAAAAAGCAGGGGCTGGGAATATAGTTCAGTGTAGAGTGCTTGCCTGCCTATCTGAGCCTGGATTCAATCCCCAGTACCTAGGGGCAGCAGGTGGAGGATCACATATATTGGGACTTGATACTGCTCTCTATAGCCTAATAGCAATCTTTCAGTGCATCTTGACCACTAAGCCACATCTCTAGCCTTTTATTTTTTATTTTGAGACAGGATCTCACTAAATTGCTTAGGGCCTCACTAAAATTGTTGAGGCTGGTCTGAAACTTGCAATTATCCTGCCTCAGTCTTACAAGTCTCTAGGAATATAAACATGTGACACCATACGCAGCTTAGGTTAGAATTTCTAAATGGTATCTTTGAAAAGATGTCATTTCTCACTTTACTCCAGACTAAGTTTGCAGCATACCTTAGGACTAGACAAACTTCCAATGGCTTGGGAGGCTGAGGCAGGAGGAACATGAGTTACCAAAATAAATAAATAAATAGATAGATAGATAGATAGATAGATAGATAGATAGATAGATAGTGTAGATAAGCTACTTCAAAAGCCCATTAATTATTTGAACCTGGCCCTAGAAATTCACTGATTTTAAACAAGTATATATGCACAAATAAAAAGGTGAAAATAAGTAGATAAATAAATCAGTAACTTCTATAATAGGAAACATATCATTTTATTGGTTACAAAAAGTTACATATTGTTTTTACAATGATGAGGATTGAATCCCCAGCTTTAAAATTGCTAAGGAAGGGGCTGGGGATGTGGCTCAAGTGGTAGCGCGCTCGCCTAGCATGCGTACGGCCCGGGTTCGATCCTCAGCACCACATACCAACAAAGATGTTGTGTCCGCCAAGAACTAAAAAATAAATATTAAAAATTCTCTCTTAAAAAAAAAAAAATTGCTAAGGAAATACTTAACACTTTATCACTGAGCTATGTTCTATCCATGTATCTGTCTTAATTTTGTGAGAATAAATTTGCCAGAATAACAAGAATAATTTTCAAAGCTAAGTAATAAATGGGGGATTTGCATGTCTAGAAAATTAAATTGTATTATAAAGCCTTCAGGATTAAAAGCATACTTCTCATGCATTAGTAGGCAAGCAGTGTGATGTAATAGATTAGAAAACCAGATACAGCCAGGTGTGGTGGTTTACCCCTATAATCCCAGGGACTAAGGAGGCTAAGGCAGGAGGATAGCAAATTCAAAGTCAGCCTCACCAACTTAGTGAGGTCCTAAGCAACTTAGCCAGACCCTATCTCAAAAACTAAAAAGGGCTGGAGATTTGGCTTAGTGGTAAAGCACCGCTGGGTTCAATCCCTGGTACCAAAAAAAAAAAAAAAAGAAAGAAAGAAAATCAGCAATAGACTTAAGGACTTAAGTTCACATTTAAGAACTTGTATGTGGTAACAATAGCATTCAAATTAGTGGAAAAAGTAACAGTTAATAAAACATGTTGGGACAAATTTCTCAACATTTGGATAAATATGAGGCAAAATTAATTAAAGACAGATTAAATTATACATGTTAAAATGAAATTGTAAATGTATTCAAAAAATGGTATTATTATTTATGTAACTTTCAGATGGTATCAGAGGCTCTATAGAATAGGCTCTTGAGTCTGGAAGATCTAAGTTCAAGTGCTGACCCCAACATCAACTGGAACGGAACCTTAAGCAAATCACTTACAACTTTTTGTTTATTTTTAAAATTTAAGATGGAGTTGGGTTTGGTGGCACACTCCCATAAATCCCAGCTACTTGGGAGGCTAATACAGGAGGATCACAAATTTGATGCCAGCCTAGACAATTTATGGAGACCTTGTCTCAAAATAAAAAATAAAAAGGACTTGGGATGTAGCTCAGTGGTATAGCACTTAGGCAGTATGGGTGAGGCCATGGATTCAATCCCACACACACAGAAAAGAATTTCAGAACTTACTCTAACCTACTTTTAATTACTTCTTAACCTTCCTTCATTTGTAGAATAGAGATAATAATACCTCATCATAGCTTGATATTAAGCAAAATAGCATAAAAGACCTTACAATTAAACACAAAGTATCATTATTATGAAATAGGCTCTTTCTAATAAGGGTACCAAAATCACAAACTATTAAGCAACAGAGTGATAAAACTGAACATACAAAATCAAGAATTGTGTAATTCAGTGCCAGAAGTCCTTCACACCTGAGACAAACTGAGTAATTCACTTGAATTAGCAAATATGAGCATCATACTTATTATGAATTAGACGTTACTTGAATGAGTCAGAGTTAAGGGAACTTGGAGCTAGGACTTAACAGAGTTGAGTCTTAGTTAACTTCAAGGACAACAAGATACATGAATTAGAATGCCAGTATGAGATGAAAAGGTGTAAATATAGCAATTATATACCTGAAAATGCTAACCCTCTACTTCCAGCGCAGAATAACATTATGATTACAGAGTATATTTCACTGAAACTTGATGAATCCAGGAGAACATCAGCATGCTGGGCTAGGACTCCTAAGGCTCTGGAGCCTTAAGAAATTGATTTTTTTTTTAAATTAAGTACCTTATTTGATTCCAGGAGTCACATTCTAAATGGAAATTACGAAATGAGGTGGATGTATTGACTACTTAAATTTAAAGATCTTTTTCAAAGCTTAAGTCCTATAATTCCAGATCACGACTGAGAATCCGACCCTAGGATCCTGCCGTGACATGTCACAAGTCCAAAACTTCAAGTTCCACCCACATTTCAGGATCTGGGAATGGGCTGTGTCTTCTTAAATCCTGAATTGCAGTGACCCCACAAATATCTCACAATCCCAATGTTTGTCAGTATTTACTACGACTCTAAGAAACGACACTACGTTGGCAACTGTCCCACACAAAGTTCTAACTGTGGGTCCTTACCATGGCCCTCCTTTGCCATTCCGTATGCAAACCAAGGATCACCCTCCTCCCACCCCCACCCTACAATCCCCAACAGATGAAGGAAAGAATTTGACAGAAACTTGACCTCACCTCAATCTCGTAGTCCTTCACTGGAGGGGGAGCAGCTGCAGCCGCCATGGCCAGGACCCCCACCATGCTCCCTGTTTCCCCGAATCCCAGCTCCTAGGACCTTGTGCGGTCCGGCTCAGCCTGCCTGGAGGCCATGGAGCTGGCTGGCTCCGGTAGGAGCGAATTGCTGGGCCGCCGAGTCAGTCTCAGGGTCCCACCGCGCCCACCCGCCCAAAACGGGAGCGGAGACTGGGCCCAGCTCCGTCGAGTCAAACGCGGAAAAAGGCGGTGAGAAAGCGCGGGCAGCGAGGGCCCTGGGACGCGGCCGGCAGTGCAGGACGTCTCTGAGGCGGCAGTTCCAGGATGAGAGCCCGGGACTGGAGCCCGGGTGCTTACAGCCAAAAAGAACACAGATCGGGCCGCGGGGCTTCGGCGGGAGTTCTTGTCAATTGGGTTTTCGCGCCGTCCTGAGCGCAGGGGGCGGAGTTTACGGCTGCTTTGGAAGCCTGCGCGGATGGTGGGTCAGGAGGGCCAAAATACGTCTTTTGACAAACCTGCAAAAGACGGAGCCAATTGCTTTGTTTAATTTAAAATCAGCCAGGGTTTTGGACATTCAGACTTTTTCTGTTGTATAACACAGTGTCACCATTAAAAACTAATGATTTGACTAAGGTCACCTAGTCAGTTAATGGCAGAATGAAAATTTAGACCTTAAGCTAGCCCTTTTTTAAAAAGAGAAAATGGGAAAAATACGAAAAATTGAATAATTGATTGCATTCCTAAATGTAAATTGATTATAGACTAAAATGCTAATATCCTGGTAGCGTCCTACCTGGAGACTCGTCCATTTGGGGGTTCTAAATTTTTATACCTCTAACTGGACTCTGGAGGCATTTTCTCATGGATTTCATCGTTGGGAGCAGCAAACACAAAATTATTGCCTCATCTGGCATGTTTTCAGTTTCTGTAGGATATCAATAGTTTGCTGGTTTCTTGTAATGGTAATCTCATGCATTATCTGCAATATTTTCATGGATTTTTTGGACTTTTTTTTTTTACCTAAAAATTGCAATTACATAAATAAACAGTTTATTTAGGTGCATAGTTTCAACAGCATGGTTCTTAAGAACCGGGTTATGTAAACTGTTTTTAACTATTAATTAACCTTTTTTAATCTTTATTTATTAATTTTTATGTGGTGCTGAGGATCAAACCCAAGGCTTAGCACATGCTAGGCAGACGGCACTACTGCTGAGCTACAACCCCAGCCCAATTAACCTTTTCTTTATTCTTCCCTCTGGACGTGCAGCTTCATTGAGAGAGCTCCAAGGTAGGACCTCAAGCAAGTTCCTATTTTTACAAATTGTTATTATTAACTCAATTTTTTTTTTGTGTGTGTGTGTGTGTGTGTGCCGGGGATTGAACTCAGGGGTACTCGGCCCCTGGGTCACATCCCCAGCCCTATTTTGTATTTTATGTAGAGATAGGGTCTCACCGAGTTCCCTAGCGCCTGGGTAAATTGCTGAGGCTGGTTTTGAACTCGCGATCCTCCTACCTCCGCCTCCTGAGCCACTGAGATTTACAGGCATGCGCCATCGCACCTGGCTACAGTAAGTTTTGTTATGTTCTTTGACATTTTTAACCAAGAACAGGCATTACTTGAATAAATATAAAAGTTAATAATGCCGGCAATCCCCGGCACCAAAAACAACAACAACAACAACAAAAATCCACTGTACAAAATAACTGATTCATATGTCAGACTTATATCCTAGAGGCAGCTACTTCCATCAATCATTACAAATGTTTTGTTTGTTTTGG